GCAGCAGATGCACAAGTGAAACAGTATCCAGTAACAGTCCATCAGATGGTAATTATAGCTGGACTGGGAAGAACAGCCAGATGAAAAGGGGCAATTCAAAGGGTAACTGAATGCCGGTGAGTGACATCTTCCTGAGAGATCACATACCAGAAAAAAGCAGGGCCATCACTTAGCTCTGAGGGGGAGGGGTTCCATAAACAGTCATTTCTCTTTGTAGAAAAACAAAGGGAAAATGTGGAGAAATGAACGCACAGAATCCAAATGGAGCCCTCTGAAGAATTCATTAATCGAGATTTAATCAGACCATCAATAAGGAACCAGAAAAAACAAGATCGCTCTGAAATTATGATTCCTCCGTAAGAATGAAGTGTTGATTTAGTTCTGAAAATATCTGAGAGAGAGGTGAGTTTACGCTATAATTCTATGAACACTATAAACCAAGATGAAGAGCCGAAGTGACTAAAGTGGATGATGGGGAGCATCTATTGATATTGAGGCAATGGGAGGGGCTGTTTAAGTTCAAAGCATGTTTTCTGGAGTGTAATATGACAAATAATAGTTGTTTAAATTCCCACTCCTAGAAAGGAAGCAGTGCCATTTTTTTTCAAACACATTCCTTCTCCAGAAATTCTGCAGAAACAGGTCTGGGCCCAGTGCAGCTATTTCTCCTGAGTCTGGGCTCTTGTCACCTGGGAAACCAGTACAAGCCCTCTTCCACCCTCAGCTAATGCTGAAGCTAGACTGGAAGCTCCTTGCAGGCATGGATGGTGACACAGTCAGATCTGAATCCCTGTACAAGGCAGGAAGGAAAGAAAACAGGCTTGTATATAGGCCCACTCTCAAAGTAAGCGTAGGACAGCTTGTTTCACTGTCTTTAATCAATATAACCACTAAATTAATACAGCCCAATTTTGAGTGTTTTCCTGATCATAATACTCATTCGGGATAAATACTTGAGGGGATGGATACCCCATTTTACATGATGTGATCATTACTCATTGCATGCCTATATCAAAACATCTCATGTGCCCTATAGATATCTACTAAGTACCCACAAAATTAAAATTAAAAAAATAAAATTATTATATAAAAAAATACTTATGCAGCTGGGCCCTGATGAGTCATCTAATGAAAAACTTCCATGAAAATAACTCTAATAATGTAAAAGCACAGGCCAAGATGGCTCATTCAAGCTAAGAAAAGAATCTTCCAGGTCTATGATGTCAATTATGGTCTTGGTCAGGAAAAAGCCCTCTCTCTTACCCATGCATTTATACTGGTTGACTGTAGAGATATTATTATGAATCTTTGAGGCCTAGTTCTGAAATGTGTGATGAAAATCATTCATGTTTTCTAGGTTCTTTCTTACGACCTGCTGTGGGGTGGGCTGTCAATTAATAGAAATGATGGGGAAGGCGCTGTGGCAGGGACAGGACACTGATCATCCAAACCAGGCAGGAACTAGGGGGCCCTGGGGTGGGAGTGAGGGCACATTTCCCTGCCACGCAGTGATGAATTTCAATCACTGCTGCCTTGTGCCAGATTCAAATTGGCAACCTACCGAGATGAAATGCTTTCTATCCCATTACTCATGCCTGGAGTCATCTGTTCCCTTGAAGATTGGCTTCCTAGGTGAAAGCTAGGGACTGGACAGTCACTCTGAGACACTTTAAATAGGATAAAAGGTATGAAAGACGAGTGGCCGGCAAGAGAAATGATATGGACACGGTGAGGGAGCTGAGGGTCTCATATAAAGCTCAATGCACTGGGAGGGGGTAGGGGGTGGGGGGAGATGTGAAACTTAAAGGGAAAATTCATTCATTTGGTAACGACAGTTGCTCAGCCTTGCACAGTTTCCTACTGCAATGCTATTGCTCTACTAAGAAAACAATGTCTTCAGGACTATACAGAAATTCCTCCTAAAAATATTCTACTTGGCTCAACTTGTCTCAGATAATCACTCTGAAACATTAAAACTGTCTAAAATGTTAAAAAGAGAAAAATAATTTTTAATAATATAATTTAGCATTTTAACTTTTGAATGCCGAGGCCCATTCCATGTGGATTATGGTCCTGATAAATAATCCTGTGATTGAACTTCTAATATGTCTAAAATTTTTACTAAATCTAAATCTCTATTACAATCTTCCGAAGCTTGAGTACAATGAGTAGCAACAAAAGTGCCTCTTAGTATTCCATGGTGTATGTGTGCCACATTTTCCCTGTCCGGTCTATCATCGATGGGCATTTGGGTTGGTTCAGCAGGGGGTGGGGAGTTGGGGGGAGATAGCATGGGGAGAAATGCCAGATATAGGTGATGGGGAGGAAGGCAGCAAATCACACTGCCATGTGTGTACCTATGCAACACTCTTGCATGTTCTTCACATGTACCTCAAAACCTAAAATGTAATTTTATAAAAGTGCCTCATAGTCAGAATTCACCTGTGAAATAAGCACAATAGCATGAGCAAAAAGTGACAGGCATCTGCGTTATAATTCCTCCCACTCATCTGCTAAGTGGCTGTCTTCCTGGACCCTGGATTTGAACAATCCATCTCTGCTTTATGCTGAAATACACCAGGGCTCAGGGGTGGGGGACACAGCATACTGAGATGACGATCGAAAAGGTTACTCAATGTAAGCAACGATTTTGGATCCTGCCAACCTGAGAGGTTTTAACAAGATAATTTTAAATGAAATAAAATGTTTTTCTCTGGCTTTCTCCCCACCTCAGAGCTCCAGCTCACCTCAAAGTCACCTAACTGTGAAAAATCTCACAGTAGGGTGGGAAGGAGGGGGCAGGTGTGGAAAGCATTCATCAAAATGATGCTTCCTGATATCCATGCAGCAACTCCGGACTTCTCACTCCAGCTCCAGCCAGGCCACTTACGCTGCCAGAGCAATGGCTGAAGGTGCAGGAGCCGTGGGTTGCCACTGAAGTATAAGGTCTTCCCTTGGCCCCGTTCTATGGTCTGTCCACACGTGAAGGTGTTTCAGCGACGACTGCAGAAGGTCAGCATCTCTCACCCTAACCCTGATCTGATGCAGAAGCTACAAGGTTGTTCACTTTGCGCATCCACGTACTTCTACGCCCAGCGCCTTCTCCAGGGATCAGCTTGCCTCTGTGGAAACTGTATTTCAGTGGTGGAGAGAGCATGTAGCCACTGTCTCTGACCCCAAGTTTGTCTTTGCACCTAACTTCTGGGTGTTGGCTCTGTTTCCAAAGCAGTCTGTTTCCAGGATCTCCACATGCAAACAGACCACATGGTGGCCCATCCCAAAGATCCTCCAGGTGGGCTCGGCACATCTCATCTCCAGAGCTGTGGACTCTGCTACTTAAGAATATGCTTGTGACCTTCAGGCACATTCTTGAAATGATATGAATCTGGAGTTTGCTTCAAAATGATATAGGAGAAAGGGGAAGTGGTGGGGGCACAGAAGATCCAAAATTAGCTAAAGAGTTAAAAATCACTGCAGCTGCGTGCTGAGTACATGGGAGGCCCAGTGCCACTCAATCTGCGGTCCTGAACAGGTGCCATTTATTTGGTAACGACAGTTGCTCAACCTTGCACAGTTTGCTACTGCAATGCTATTGCTCTACTAAGAACAATGCCTTGAGGACTATACAGAAATTCCTCCTAAAAACATTCTACTTGGCTCAACTTGTCTCAGATAATCACTCTAAAACATTGCCTAATAGTGCAAACTATTACTGGTCTCTGAAGATATGAGTAAGAGAGATGGAGAGAAGCATTCAGAAGCTTTTATAGCAAACCAACAGAGTAAAGCTATGTCTGTTAAATCTAATAATAAGAGAATTTTGTCTGTCTTTGCTTTTTGATCTCGTTTTTCCAGGAATTCACTTTTACAAAACTATCAGTCCATGACTAATTACATATTAATTTTTTAAAAAGACGGGTAGATTGAGAAGTCCTGCTTTATGTGATCAGTCTCTACTCACATATACATTTACAACTATATAAATGTTTTTGTTATTTTACAAATACAAAGATGTACGTTAGACACAAAGCTGCCTCTGAGTTGGTCTGATCGAGGTGCCCTCCCCGCCCTCAGTGCACCGGCAAGGAAGACAGGAGCTGGGTAGGGTGATGTTCATCCTGCAGTGCAGAGCGTGTTGTGAGGTGTTTATCTGAGCATTGTCTCCAGCCCTGAGGGGCAGCTCCTTGGGCTGTTTGGAGAGTTTAAACTTAACACTTGCCTTTTTTCTCTCTCACGAAGGACAAATGTTAGTCCACTGAGGGATTTTTTTTTTTTTTTTTTTACTTACTTAAGTGGAAGAGTATACAAACACTACAAGCCCGTATCGGTCATCATGAGAAAATTCTGTTTTCCAATTAAGTTATTGAAAAAAACAGGTACATTTCCATTTAAAAGAATATCTAGGTTTGATTTCAGTCCTTTTTCCTGTTCTGACAATAAAAGTGACCCCTGGCCATTCATTTTAAGGTCACAAACTCCTGCTGCCACAGGGCAGCTAATATGCTTCTGTTAATCATCTTGATTCCCCCCGGAGGAGGGAGTTAAACAAACCAGCTTAGGACCCGGGGCCCAAACATCTCAAATGCAGCCAGTTCTGTTTTCTCTGTCAGCTTTGTCCTAACAGTGAATGACCACTTAATGCCTTGAAAGCAAAACATCATTGAAAGAGGGAATCTGCTTTTGAGGACAGGCAAAGAAAATGAAAATATGCTGGAGGGTGACTCTAGGCCTTTTGTCTTGGGACACAGCAGCCTGAGAGGCATCCCCAGGGGATGACCCTGCAAGGCCTTGTGGCTACTGCTTTAGGCTTGCTGGGAAATAACCACTTGAGGGAAAGGGCTGCGGGGGAGCCTTCGAAGGGCTCTGCCTGTAAGGGTATGAGCACCGGGTTCCCTGTAATTAAGAAGCAGCCTGCTCCTGCGAAGACAGCACTGCCACCCCATCTGCCAGGCCCGCGGGAGCTGGCACCGCGCCGCCCTGCCTGCCGCCCTGCTACCCACCAGATCCTTGGAGACCTCCTTTGATGGAGCGTTTATGCCAAGCTTTTCCAGAGGATAGACAATCTGTCGTCGTGGTCGCACGGGAACCAAGTAATGAAGGGCAGATGTCAGGGAGTGGGCGTAGGGGTTCTGGAACTGAAAGACAGCAATCTATATTTTAGGGGAGAGAATGTCAGAGAGGCACAGCACAGATGTCTGCGTGCAGCTTTACAAATACAAAACTCTTAACTCGGCCAAGTCAGAGAGGAAAAAAAATCAGCAAATAAACAAACATACTCTTCGAGCGGAGGAATGAATTGTAGATAATGCCTGACACTAATGAAGATAATTACGAGAGTAATTACATTACTATCTCTGTGGGAATGACAGATAAACAAGTGGTTTGGTTTATGGGATTTTTCAGTACAAGTATTTTCCCCGGGAGGATATTCTTCTCCACAGTGATCATGCATCAGCCTGATCTGACCCCATTAAGCTGTGTTATCTGCATCCTGTTAACCTTTGTATGTTTGGCACAGGCTGCTTTAAGAAAGAAACATAGATAAAAATGTCATCCAAGGGGTATCTTAGCAAGGAGGTGAAAATCCTCCTGTTTGTAAAAGTCATTCATAGTGACTTCAGTGACTTCAACTGGACCTTTGGTTAAAAAAAAAAAACCAAAAAACTGTTTTATAACAAAAAGATAAAACTGGGAAGTGGGGGTGGGGGTGGGAGAAGTAGATCATATTATTTACATTTAGACTAATACTAAATTATGAGTTGGATTTATACTTATTCAAATAGACTATGATAAACCATGTCTTGGGGGATACTTTAAATATTGATTTATCCAGTTTTAAAAACTTAGCAGAGAAAACCAAACATGGTGATCTTTATTTCTGTAACATTTATGAAATCTTAGGGGTTTTGGTGAAATGAACTCAGGGCATTGCAACCATTTAAATCTGAAGAGTTAGACTGTAAAATCAAAACTTTTAATGATATATTTATTGAATTTAAGCTGGAAAGCAAAGAAAGAAAAACTGAACTGTAGAAGTATTTTAATAATTAGATGGTTTACATATGACTTTTTTGCTGTTCTAAAAATAGCCTGTGATTTTTATGAGCTTCTAAAATGGTTTTCTAAAATTTTTCACCACTGAACTTCATACTCTGACATCACAAACTGAAAAGCAGAACCCTAGCCAGCACCCTGTTTTTATGCCTGGAAGATCTCTTAATACATTCCCTGACCAGAGAGATAGAGAGAAAACCATCCCATGATGTGAGCCAAGAAGCTCTACTTTACTGTAGTCAACTGGGGATTTATGGCAGAATTTGGGAATTCTTACCCAAATTACTTGGAACTGCTTGATACATGATACACTTGTTTTAAATGAATATGTGAAATCAACTGGAAGAGCAGACTGAGAAGAAATCTGTTTCCAAGTATGTTTTTAGAGGCTATATACAACAGTGTGGAACATATTCCTAATTTCATAGTATTGAAGTAAATGTATAAACGTTTAATGAAATGCCCAAGGTATTATTTTTAGTATGGATGCAAATGGACTTTCTCTAACCCGGCACATCAGGCAACTTCATGAATAAAAACAAGAATTTAATATCACAACTTGAAGGTCACAAAACTGGCATTTGGCCAACTGCAAAGTAAAAGAAAACTGTGCAGGACGAGGATTTTCCAGCAGAACTGTTACCTTCCCATCTCAGTGAGTTCAAAGCTGGACCATTTCATTGCCATGGTGCTGCATTTTGATAGGAAAAAAAAAAAAAAAGAAAGAAAAACTAGAGCAGAGTCTACATCTCACTCAAAACCTTTTCTATGTTTTTTCTTTTTTCTTCCCCATTCCCTCTGGACTTCTCTAAAATGTTTTTTGTTAAATAAAATACACTGGGAAAATTATTGTTATGTGTATGTACTAATACACTTTAGACTTTAAAAATATATATATATTTTATTACACTTTAGGTTCTGGAGTACATGTGCAGATCATGTAGGACTCTTGCATAGGTACATACATGGCAATGTGGTTTGCTGCCTCCATCCCCCAATCACCTATATCTGGCATTTCTCCCCATGTTATCCCTCCCCAACCTCGTTACCCCCCAGTGTTCCTCCCCTAGTCCCCCTCAACAGACCCCAGTGTGTGATACTTCCCTCCCTGTGTCCATGTGTTCTCATTGTTCAACATCTGCCTATGAGTGAGAACATGCAGTGTTTGATATTCTGTTCTTGTGTCAGTTTGCTGACAATGATGGTTTCCAGATTCATCCATGTCCCTACAAAGACACGAACTCATCATTTTTTATGGTTGCATAGTATTCCATAGTGTATATGTGCCACATTTTCCTTGTCCAGTCTATCATCGATGGGCATTTGGGTTGGTTCCAGGTCTTTGCTATTGTAAACAGTGCCACAATGAACATACGTGTGCATGTGTCTTTATAATAGAATGATTTATAATCCTTTGGATATATACCCAGTAATGGGATTGCTGGGTCAAATGGAATTTCTATTTCTAGGTCCTTGAGGAATCGCCACACTGTCTTCCACAACCACACTGTCTTCCACAATGGTTGAACTACTTTACACTCCCACCAACAGTGGGGAAGCATTCCTATTTCTCTACATCCTCTCCAGCATCTGTTGTCTCCAGATTTTTTAATGATCGTCATTCTAACTGGTGTGAGCTATCTAGACTGTTTAATACACAGACATGCTAATAATAACACATTTTAAGATCTCTTAGCTCCCTTGTGCTAATGCGAAGAGATGGGACAATGTCAAAGACTTTAGGCAGAGCCTGGGAAAGTGTGAGTTCATGAGTGGAATCTCACGGGACAACTTCTACCTACTCTAGGGGTTGAATCCCTTCACCCTCAAGTCTACATCAGTTTGAGGACCAATGTTGTCAGTGACTGAGGGACCAATTTGCAGGGGAAAAAAACAACCTTGGAAATTTAGTTGGAATAGGCCCTTGCCTGCGGAACAACCAGACTCTGTATATGAGTGTGTGTGTGGGGGGGTGGGGGGCAGGGGTGGGAAGCATGAGTGTATGTGTGAATGCATGAGTGTGTGAGTGTGGTATATGTGTGTGAAAGCATGACAGCGTGTGGGGTGTGTGTTTGTGTGTGCGTGTGTGTGTGTGTGTGAGATTCTTCTAGGCAATGGCATACGGCTGTGAACAAGACAGAAAAAAGCACGGCTGCGTTCAGGGTAATATGGTAACTTCAGTTGACAATGAGTGCTATGAGGAACACTAAAGCAGGACGGGAGGTATGCAAGTAAGATGGAGGCTTGCGATCTGTGCATGCACACCCGTACCACATATACACACACCATGTAATAGGTCCGTGTCTGTTAACACAATACTACTCCACGCAAGTGTGGCAAGTGTTACGTGGGGCTGGTTACATCAGCATGAGGTATCTCTGCGCTTTCTCTCCGTCACCTAGTGGGGGTGTTCCTAGTGCTTATTTCAAATGCCGGGATAGCATGTCAGTCTTCTAAAATAGAATCACTGAATACGATCATGTTGGCATTGCACTCAGGCATCGTAAGAAGTGATTAGATCTTCATGTCTCTTCAGAGCATTTTTACATGGTTTTCAGTCTCTATTTTGACAATATAGAAAAGCCAACCAACTGTACTGCTAATTATATTAGTTGTGATTATTTCGGAAATTCAAAGCCTACAGAATGCCACTGTAGTATGTGAAAAAGGCCAAACTAAATACAGCCATTGGAAATTCAGACCATGTTATAATCAAAACCCAACAAGAGAGGAATGAATAAAATGTGGCACCCAACACCAACAACACTGTGAACACTGACCTGCTGGGAAAGTGGACCACACCATTGTCTTACCTTGCCTTCTCTGGATTTGGGGTAAACAGGGTAGTAGAGACAGGATTTAAAGCCTAAACGAAGGATCTCCTTCAGAAAAAACTTGGTGTAGTGCCGGAAAATGGGGTTGAGGGCAAAGTGATGTATGTGCCCGTGTTCTTCACGCTGGTGGTGACTGAAGTAGATGAAATCTTCAATGTTGTAATGGGACCGAATGTACTCAACATCCTACAGAAGAGACAGAAGGGATGGTTTCTACAAGCGTTTTAAACAAACTACATGCATTTTGTGATAAATACCTTTTAAAAATTACTTTAGGTATGATAGTAAGAAATGCATTCTTCTCTCCCAATTTGCCACCTCGTTTTCAGGGTAAATTTTTTAAAATTAGAAATTATGTTTCCTGAGTGCTAGCTGTTCTAGCACTTGTCTTTGGGGGATGGCAGCACTGTTTTGTCATGTGCTCCTTCCACACTCACGGCTGCTATCAACTCAGAGAGCCCTGAGTCTCTGCCATCGGTCAAGTGGCAGGACAGCAACTCTGGGGCCACTGCCGGGTGACATGAGCACAAGCCAGTCAGCACAAGGGACAGAGCCCATGAGAAGTTCAGGAGTCGGGCAAACAGAGCCACTGGTGCTCTCTGATGCGTTACTATTCACCTGTTAGTGTGGAAATGTGTCACCCCTGAGTCACACACTTTGTTTTGTTTTGAGACAGTCTCGCTCTCTCACCCAGGCTGGAGTGCAGTGGCGTGATCTTTGCTTACTGCAACCTTCGCCTCCTGGTTCAAGAGATCCTCCCACCTCAGCCTCCCAACTAGTTGGGATTGTAGCCACCCACCACCACACCTGGCTAATTTTTTTGTAGTTTTAGTAGAGACAGGGTTTCACCATGTTGGCCAGGCAGGTCTCAAACTCCTGGCCTGCCCGCCTTGGCCTCCCAAAGTCCTGGAATTACAGCCACCATGCCTGGCCCCAAGTCATATGCTTTGATTGCATACATGGCTGGCTGGCCTATAATAAAACTGCATAATTGGGCCGTATTCATGTGTACTTCTTAAACCTTCTATCCTCCTTGATGTGTAATATTTTTTACAGTGGAAGGTAATTTAAAGGACTGGTGAATGTCTTTCCATGTAATGGAAATATCAAGCACACTGCTCTTGTTTCCATGGGCTGGGTCTGGTGCCCCTCTGTCTCCACACTGCACTGGGATCCCAGATCTCCTTCATGCCAACTGTGTCCTGGGCCAGCCTGTCCTGTGTCACCTCCCAGCACTGCACGCTGTCAGGAGTGTGGGTGGACGGGAGCATTCCCAGGTGAGTGTGACTCTCCCTGATGACAGCCGCAGTAAACGCACCCAAAATGCAGGAAAAATCAAATCATATGCAGGTGGCAAAACACCAACTTATATTTCTCCTTGTTTTCGAGGGTAAATTTGTTTTAAAAGCATACTTTCAAGAACAGAAATTGGAGAATACGAGAACCCTGATGTGTTCTGTGATCAGCAAGGCTGGCACCAACAAATCCATGAAAACTGTGACATCTGTGGCCAAGCTCCTCGAGGTCCCGTGACTTTCCAGCTTCTGTCATAAAGCACTGAAGAAACAGAGCTCGGGGTAACCGGGCCAGTGGCAGTACCCTAGGGCAGTTCTGGCAAGCTTTCAATCTACATTGACCCTGTAATGGCCTTTATACTATAAGATTTTTCTTTAATTACCAAGGAGGCATCCCTCATTATAAAATAAAATGAGTGACAAGTATTGGGCTGAGAAATCACTGAAAAACAAAAATCAAAGAGCCAACAGAGGTTATGAGCTCAGAATAGCAGATGGGCCATGTGTATCTAATTTTCTTCCCATCCCAAATTTCTCAAAATAACAACAACAAAAATTATTTTTTGACTAATGAGAGCACAATAGGGGACAAAAAAGTAAGGCAGTTTCACCTTGGAAGAAAACCCTACCACTAGGTGAAACTTTCTTACCTTGGGTCACCTGGGGTCCCTGCCTGCCCACTGGTTCTCCATTCAAACACACAGGGGAAGTCAGATACTGCCATCCCCTCCCAATCAGACAGGGGGGCGGGAGTACTACCAGTGATGGGGAGACACCATGGAGAAACATACAAGAACTGTCAAGGATACCCACGCCAGCCGCCCAAACTGATCGTTTCATCTTTCGCTCATGACATGGACAGGCTTTTGAGGAAAACTGACAAATAAAAAAAGACCAGAATAGAGAAACATACAACTTACTACAGAGAAGACAGATTATTCAGGAAATAGCAGAGAATTAAAAAAAAAATCCTACATAGTGTACTCAGAGAGATCAAGAAGGATCTTGCATGTAGTAAACAAGCTGGTACCAAAAAGGAACAATAAGAGAACAAGAAAGAGACTTGGAAGTTAAATACATGAACTCTGAAATAAAGATTCCAATAGAATACTTGGGTAATAAAACAAACACAGCTGAAGAATTAGAGCTTTGGAAGACCAAATTGAGGAAATCTAAAATGATGAGTAAAATGTAACATTTTGAAGACACTTAAGAATTGATTCAAAACATCTACTATCCACCTAAAAAATAATTTAAGAAAAAGGAGAATGGAGTGGAAGAAATAATTAATGAAATCATAGAAGAAAAACTGCCAAAAGAGACAGAAAATACTTCTTGGCAAAATTTCAGAATTCCAAAGGCAAAAAGAAAATTTAATTCTCAAGAAAGAGAGCAAACACACATTTATTTATAAAGGATCAAGAATCAGATTGGTATCAGATTACATTTATCAACAACATCGGATACTGGAAGACAATGAGAGGGCAAACTTTATCATTTTGATGAGAAATAATTAGAATGAGGCCAGGAGCAGGTGGCTCACGCCTGTAATCCCAGCACTTTGGGAGGCTGAGTGGGGCAGATCACCTGAGGTCAGGAGTTCGAGACCAGCCTGGCCAATATGGTGAAACCCCATCTCTACTAAAAATACAAAAATTAGCTGGGTATGGGCCCATACCTGTAATCCCAGCTACAGGAGGCTGAGGCTGGAGAATCACTTGAACCCAGGAGGTGGAGGCTGCAGTGAGGTGAGATTGCATCACTGCACTCCAGCCTGGGTGACAGAGTGAGACTCCATTTCAAAAAAAGAAAGAATTCAAATGAGAACTCTACACACAGCCAAATGAGTACACAAAATGAGGACCAATGAAAACTTCTCATATTTGTGTGAACTCAGGGACCCTACTACCCAACACCATCTCTAAAAGAATAAGTAATTCCAAGAATTATTGGATCAAAAAGAGGAATAAATCTAAAAAAACGGAAAGTGTGTAAAATATTTAAGAAATAAAGCCATGTGAACATCTTAATGTCAAAAACACATTTGATAAAATTCAATACTCATTCATAGTAAAAACTTTTTTTTTTTTTTTTTTTTTTNACCCAGCTTTGCCTTTTTACCAACTAAGTAAGCTTAGATAGCTAATTTAACTCCTCACTGCTAAGTGGTGATAGGAGGCCCTGCACTGCCCTGCCCTTCCCTTCCTTACCCTTCCCTGCCCTGCCCTGCCCTGCCCAGCTCACAGGGCAGGGTAACTTGGCATAACCCAACATTTCTTCTTTTTTCATTTAACATTCTTTGGACACCCATGGAGAAAAGCTGTTTTAGACCTCTTTCCAAAGAAAAGGGCATTTTGCCAACAGAAGTCACCCCTGGACCTAAACTGCCACAAGTATATCACAGGAGAGGCAAGAAGGCAGAGAGAGATAGGGACAAATGTGATAGAAAAGGGAGAAACCCCATCCATTTCTACTTCCATTCCCATTAGTCCTATGTGAGGCAGCCAATGTCACGGTCCCCTCGCTGCTATGCACCCTTTCATGGGCCCCTGTCCTCTGGATCCCATTTCTCACCACCGGCAAATGCTTCGTCCTCTGTCTGGGGCCCCTGCTCTTTCTGTCCTACCTAACCCTTCACCTTGGACTTGCATCTAACTGTCAGCCTCCTCCCTGGGACTTGATGTTCCACTCTTCTCTGGGGCCCCCTATCTAGGATGCAGATCCCATTTCTTCTGCTGCTAAAGGACCCCTGGGGCCCACTAGTGTGAAAGAGAAAGCCCAGCATGGTCCTCATCTCCAGGGCATCCGGTGGTATGATCCCATCATCCAGCTTTGGCCAATTTGCATGTAGCTGCAAACCTAAACTCTCACTTACACCTTACTTGGCTCCTACTTGGCATCTGAGGAAGGATCTCAAACACGGGCCTGGGATACTCATGCTCACCTTCCAGCAATCCATGGTGACTACGGATGGACATGACAACTGCAAAAGACCCCTGTCCTTTGTCCAGGATGCTTTCCCTTGGCCTAACAGAACTTCCATTCAGGCAATGCAGCCACAGCCACACAGCTGCCATCTGAACCCACAGCCAAAGTACTGTGGTCTCAGCAGCCCCCACCTCTTCCCTGCAGGCCTTCCCGTCCTCCTCCTACACACTTGCTTTTATCTGGAGGTTCACAATACACAGGTGGCTTTCCAGGGTTCACATTTCATGGTGGTAGGCAGATATTCTCCCCCAGCCCCGTTCCTGACATTCCACAGCATGGTCAAGATGCTTTTGCAAGTATGTATCACTCACTCCTGAAAACAATCTGGCAAAATGGATATTATTAAACATGCCTTACAGATAAGGAAAGTGAAGACCCAGCAATGTTCAAAGACACACTGGTGGTTAGGGGTAGAAGTGTGGGTCAAGCTCAGACCTCAACTCCAAATGCCGTGCTTCCTTCACCACACGAAGCTACAGGAAGCCTGTGATCAGGCCTCGTCAGCTGGGGCCCCCGCGTGCCAATCACATCACAGACTCAGAATGCTATCCCCACGTTCCCTATTCGTGAGCTAATTCTCAACAGAGGGTGCTACTGTCTGCTGATCATGAGAGACTTTCCAGCTGTCAGAATGACTTCCCAAGAGAAATCCAGGGATGTCCCACTGACTTGTGCATTTAAAGTAGGGTGAGATAAACCTTCCAGAAACATTCCAAAGGAACAAATCTGTAATTGGGAAGGAAAGAAACAACCAAAGTGGTCTTTCCAAATTCACGTCTGTCATTAAGTGTCCCCTGAGGAAAGGGGGCAGAGAAACCAGGACGGATTTAGGGAAAGGTTAATCTAATTCTTTTATTTCCTCATTATAGGAGTTATCAAATTCTAAGTCAGTGGAGAGATACCAGTGTTAACTGCCAGAAGAGGAGTTGGTTCACCACTGTGCTGCCCCTTCCACAAGTCACTTTGAGAGGAAATTCAAGATGGGGATTACTTCGTAAGTGCGGAGAGTGTGAATGGGGTTAGTCTCCTGGTGTAGACCTGTAGTCTCAAATGTGGTCCTACGACACGGGTCCACTGTGATTTACCATAGCATATGAGGAGAGTAATTTGCTACTGTTAATGTATACTAAGTTTTGCAAATGTTTTTTCCTATAAATTAGAGAAAATTCAAAAACTGTCCCATCATCCTCACATGCTTTCCAGAGTAGGCTAGAGAAGTGTTGAGGAAAGGTCAATAGCATGGAACACCCACAGCTTTGCCCAGGGTGCTGAGATGTGACTATGTCTTTTTTGTTCAGATGGGAAAACATTTGTGACTGCATATTATTTTCTTTTTTTTTTTTTTTTTTGAGATAGACTTTCACTCTTGTTGCCTAGGCTGGAGTGCAATGGTGTGATCTCGGCTCACTGCACTCTTGCCTTTGAGGTTCAAGCAATTCTCCTGCCTCAGCCTCCCAAGTAGCTGGGATTACAGGCATATGCCACCAAGCCTGGCTAAATTTTGTATTTTTAGTGGAGACAGGGTTTCTCCATGTTGGTTAGGCTGCTCTTGGACTCCTGACCTCAGGTTCTCTGCCTGCCTTGGCCTCCCAAAGTGCTGGGTTTACAGACATGAGCCATTATGCCCGGCCAAAACTTTTAATAAGATAGAAGAACATTTCCCTTACTTGATAGGGGATATCTATCAGAAATCTGGAGCAACTATTATGCCAAATGGAGGAAAGTACAGAATCATTCCATTAAAATCAAGAACACCAGAAAAGCAGCTGTTATTAACACTACTACTCAATGTTGTTCTATCCATACACTAAAACTGGAAAAAGACTAAATGTATAAACACTAAAAAGGAAGGTGTAGCAGGTTCTCTTATCCAAAGAATCCTAAGATGATGGCCAAGACAGTACCTGTCATCCGACATCCCTTATGCTCTTCTGCAGTGATTCTGCCACACTCCCATCAAGAGGAGAAGTCCACCTCTACCCCTTGAGTCAGAGCATGCCCTCGAACTGCTCTGACCAGTAGAATATGGTGGAAGTGGTGCTGCAGCAGGAAAGAGAATCAGCTGAAAAACTCTCTAAGGTCAAAGAAATTTCAGAAAGGTGATTGAATACAAGGTCAAAATACAAACACCAGTAGTTTTCCCATACACAAGACAAACATTTAGAAAATATGAGGAAAAGTCTATATTCAGAATACCAAGAGAAGTCATAAAACATGTAGAAATAAATGATCAATGTCTAGAACTGTCAGGTCAGGCTCTCAGCAGGAAACATATGATATGTTCAAATTAGGATAATTGGCGGGGGCTTTAGCAAAGGGAATATTTACAAGGATGGGGCAGGTGTAAGGAGGCTAGTAGGGACTGTGCAGAAGCAACTGCAAGCTACTTCCACCCTAAGAGGGTGGCATGGGAGGAGGGCTGGTTACAGGAATCCAGAAGGAGAGCATCATGAAGAGGCTGCCTTGAAATGTCAGGGAACTCAATGGAGATCAGCCCGCTGAGGCACCTGACGTCACTGTCTCCTCCTCTTTCTGTCAGGGCTCTCCGTCCACCAAACCCAACGGGAAGCCAAGGCAAAGCCATCCATAATGCTATGCCCGTCAGTCAGGCTCCCTGGGACAGAACAGGGTGGAGAAGGGTGGAGAGTAGACCCACAGGACAAACAAAAACTCAAACAGCAAAATTATGATGCAAAGAAAACCCATGAAAGAAGCCACAAAACATCTGAAGAACCCAAAAAGTTAAACAACAGCAACATAGAAAACCACAATCCACGATCCCATTAGGGAAGGCTCTATATTTTAATGTCAATTCTGCCTATATTGTTCTATAGAATCTACGTATAGGTAAAACTATATTAATAATAAATATTACAAAGTTTGGAAGAGGAAATAGTCAAGAAGTAAAAAACAAAAAAATTTAGAAGACACCAAATGAGAAAATACTCCCCTATGAGATATAAAAGCACATGATAATGCAATAGGTATCAACAGATAAATCCATGGAACAGGCAGAGTTTAAAAATAGGCATAGGCATATAGAAATGTAATAAATGTAAAAACAGCATTTTAAAATCAAAAGAGAAAGAATGGATTATTCAGTAATAAATGCTTTGAAATAGCTGGCTGTGCACTGGGAAAAAATAAAATGATATCTCCACTTGACACACACACACATACACATAATAGATGTAATAAAGTGCAAAGACGAATGCTGGAAGGGATAAATGTATCACTACAGTAGTAATACTTTGGGGAGAGCAGTGGAATATATTAATAGATGTATAGGCGGTAGAAAGTTATCTGAGATTTTAGGGTGAGATTGTCTACATGTATTCTTTGTAATATATTAAATATTTTGAACTGCAAAAAAAAAATGGAGAATTGCAAGTCCTCTAAGTGGGATAGAGGCAGATGATGATGACATCCATCAGAAAAAGGAGGCATTCACATTGAATAAGTAAAAATAGAACTCCAAAAGGGGCATTGTGGGCTAATTCATGATATAACAAGGTACAATCAAAGAAATTAATATCCACTTCACAATTTACCATTTCATTTGTGATCACTGCGATACCAACTATTTGTTCTGCAACTTCAGCTACAAATGCCTGCAGCAGTGTTCCATCCTGAAAAGATAAGCATATATTTTAAGACCCTTAAAAATATAGCTATGAATGTATTTGTAAGCAGGCAACGGTAGGTCTTAACCACGTTCACATAGCAACAATAGAACAAATATCTAACAACTCTTACTTTGGAGGTAGCAAGTTAAATGCCCTCCCTGTGTCCACTGGTCCTCACATCAACCCTATGAGATATTATTATCATTTGAGATGGAGTTTCACTGTTGCCCAGGCTGGAGTGTAATGGCATGATCTCGGCTCACTGCCGCCTCCGGCTCCTGGGTTCAAGTGATTCTTCTGCCTCAGCCTCCCTAGAAGCTGGGATTACAGGCACCCACCACCATGCCCTGCTAATTTTTTGTGTTTTTAGTAGACGGTGTTTCACCATGTTGGCCAGGCTGGTCTCAAACTACTGGCCTCAGGTGATCCGCCCGCCTCAGCTTCCTAAAGTGTTAGGATTACAGGCTTGAGCCACTGCACCTGGCCGTGATATTATTATATTCATTTATGAGAAAACAAGGCATGCGTGGCGAACTGGCCAAGATCTCCAGCTAGTAAGCAATGGAGCTAACATTCAAATCCCAGGCCCTTTTATTCAGAATGTGCTTTCTTGAGCTCTACATCAATGGTGCTCAAATTTTATAATCTCATGACCCCTGTGCACAGACAAATCCAGAGAGTTCTGGTTTACATGTGAATATCAATCAGTATTTTATGTATTAGAAATTAATACTGAAAAAAAATTGCATATACTTATTAATTTTGGTTTTATTAAAACAAAATTTAAACTTGTTTACTAATTCATTTTAAAATAACAATACATTGCATGTTAATTATTTTTCATGAGAAATAATTTATAATTATTATAAAATTTATATAATTTACAATTATTATAAAATTTATATAATTTATAATTATTATAAAATTTATTATAAAATTTATAATTATAATTATTATAAAATTATTATAAAATTTATAATTATAAATTTCATGAAAAATAATTATATTTTCCCAAAAAATATGTCAAGAATGGCATTATTTTATTTATTTATTTGAGATGGTGTCTTACTATAAAAAATTATATTTTCCCAAAAAATATGTCAAGAATGGCATTATTTTATTTTATTTATTTTATTTATTTATTTGAGATGGCATCTTACTCTGTTGCCCAGGGTTGAGGGCAGTGGTGTGATCTTAGCTCACTGCAACCTCTGCCTCTCTGGGTTCAAGTAATTCTCCTGCCTCAGCCTCCCGAGTAGCTGGATTACTGGCACCAATGACCATGCCCAGCTAATTTTTGTATTTTTAGTAGAGATGGGGTTTCGCCATGTTGGCCAGGGTGGTCTCAAACTCCTGATGTCAGGTGATCTGCCCATCCTGGCCTCCCAAAGGCATTATTTTATATTTTTACAATCTCTTTAATGTTTGGCTTAATAGAAGACAGCTAGGTTCTCGTGTCTGCTTCTGCATGCAGTCTCTTTCAATATGCTGTTTTGGTTGAAATATATTAAAAAAAATCTGACTTCATAACGATATGTAGCCAGAAAAAGGAGAAGTATTTAAATTATCTTTTCAGACAATTGTGGGTATTCTTCTTTGATGCTCCACCAAAAGTCAACAAGTGGTAGCATTTGAAAGATTCGTTGCAATGTGGAATCTAAAAACTGTATCACTGAACTTTTTATGTATTAATATACAGTATTAATATTCTCCAGTCTATTTTGCCCTAGGAGTGAATATTTTACTTAAGCATGCTTTTATAACAGCATGAATTGTGTACCTAGAAAAGAGTGGCTCACAATGCTATGCAGACTTTCCAAGTGTTGACCTATTCTACCTTTTTTTTTTTTTTGAGACGGAGTTTCACTCTTGTTACCCAGGCTCAAGTGCAATGGTGCAATCTCGGCTCACCCTAACCTCCACCTCCTGAGTTCAAGCAATTCTCCTGCCTCACCCTCCTGAATAGCAGAGATTGCAGGCATGCACCACCATGCCTGGCTAATTTTTGTATTTTCAGTAGAGACAGGTTTTCCCGTGTTGGCCAGCCTAGTCTCCCAACTCCTGGCCTCAAGTTATCCACCTGCCTTGGCCTCCTGAAATGGCAAGCGTTGACCCATTCTATTACAAAATATCAAAACACCGAATTTGTTAATATCACCACCAGTCTCATCAGAAAACATTATTTAAGTTTTGGGAAGAAGCCAAGCTCACGATGGCAGCTACTGGTTTCCTTAAAGTCTATTTTTTTTTTCCTTAAAAGGTTGGATTTTATCAGAAAGGACGAATGCTAGCAGTTTTCTTGGAGTGACAGGCTCTACCTCATTCATTTTTAAGAAAATGTCTGCCAACTATCCAAGTCCAGAAAACCTTATTTTGTCTGCCAGTTGTTCTTTCAAGTAAAAGTGGCATTCCATGAAAATGGTGTCCGGTTCCACATGCAACTCAAAATAATTGCAGAAATGCTTTTCCCTGAAATAATAAACAGGCTTCAGGACACTGGAGAAGTGCTTCATGTGCACTTCTCACTTTGCCACACAGAATACTAAGGGTGGAGTTTTTTTTTTTTTTTTTTTTTTTGGTTGCAGGGACACAGTGTATTGCTCTGTCAATCAGGCAATCAGGTTGGAGTGCAGTGGCGCTATCTCTGTACATTGCAACCTCAACTTGCTGGGTTCAAGCAATTCTTGTGCCTCAGCCTCCCAAGCAGCTGGGACTACCGGTGTGCCTCACCATGCTCAGCTAATTTTCATATTTTTAGTAGAGATGAGGTTACACCATGCTGCCCAGGCAGGTCTTGAACTCCTGGCTTCAAGAACCACCTCGGATTCCCAAAGTGCTAGGATTGCAGATGTGACCCACCACACCTGGCCTCAGGGTTGAGATTTAATAAAGTTGATAATTTTGCTGCTTCTTCAAGGATATTCCTTAATGAAACTTGCTTTTCATTTTCTTTTTCTTTAATTGACATACTTGTAGACTTACATGCAGTGTAATAAATAAAACAGAAATTTCTTGTGCACTTTGTTCAGTATCTCCTAATGATAATATTTTGCAAAACCATAGTATAATACTACAAGCGGGAAACTGACATTGATACAATTGTGTGTGTATATGTCTGGTGTATAAAGTTTCACATGATTTCATCCCCTCCAAGGGTTTATGCATCCACCACCACAGACAGAATACACAGTTCTAATATCACAAAATCCTCTTGAGTTTCCCCCTCTCTCCTCACCCTCCCCACATCCTTAACCCCTGGCATCACATAACCTGTTCTTCATTTCTAAAATCTTGTCACTTCAAAGTGTCATATAAATGGAGCTCTAGAGGATACAATCTGTAGGGGTTGGCTTTTTTTTTTTTCCCTACTCAGTATAAGTCTCTGGAGATTTGTCCGAACCAATGTATGTATCAAGAGTTCATTCCTTTCATTGCTGAGTAATATTCCATGACACGATGTGCCACGGTTTAACCTTCATCTGTTGAAGGATAACTGGGCTGACAATAGGTATTATGAACATTAGTGTAAAATCTTCATTTCTCTTGATCAAATGCCCACAAATGCAATTGTTAGGCCATAAGATGGTTGCAGTTTTGGTTTTTAAATAAACGGCCAAGGCCAGGTGTGATGGCTCACACCTGTAATCCCAGCACTTTGGAAAGCTGAGGCAGGCAGATCACATGAGGCCAGGAGTTTGAGACCAGCCTGGCCAATGTGGTGAAACCTCATCTCTACTAAAAATACAGAAATTACAGGTGGGCACCTGTAATTCCAGCTACTCAGGAGGCTGAGGTAGGAGAATTGATTGAATCCAGGAGGCGGAGCAGTGAGGTGAGATTGCGCCATTGCACTCCAGTCTGGGCAACAAGAGCGAAACTCCATCTCAAAATAAATAAAGAAAAATAAAGAAAAATAAACAGCCAAAATGTTTTCCAGAGTGGCCACACCATTCTACATTCCCACCAGCAACACTAGAGAGCCGGTTTCCCCATGTCCTCATCAGCATTTAGCAGCTAGTGGCATCACTACTTTTTGTTTTAGTCATTCTGATAGGTGTGCAGGGATATTCCACTGTGGCTCGCTCTTTCTGTAGTTGCTGGGATGATGGTAAAGAACGCCAGGACCACTAGGGCGTTTGCTGCCACTTCCTTGAGCCACTGTGCATTGGCATCAGCTTCACCCACCACTGCTTCTGCATCATAAGTACAGATCTCAATACAGTGAAATATGAATAAAACAGTTTTTACCTTGCAGACCCCCAGAAAATTCATGTTTCAGAGACCCCCAAGGTTCCTTAGACAACACTTTGAGAACCAGGACTCAAGCTCATACCACTTAGAGGGGCCATGAGGGAAAAAATGAAGAAACAAAGAGTCCAAGACAAATCAAAGCAAAAACCATGTGCTGAAGGGAAGTTTCACTTTAGTTTGGTTTGATGCCTTTATAAATAGTAAACATTTGTGTATATGTCATTATGTTTAGGTGTTTGGTGTCTCCCTCCTGATGACTTACAAATTTACTAAAAGATTTTTTTTTCCAAAAGACCCAATAACTGGAATTCCCCAAATGACCTCAATAGTAGAATGAAGAAATAAATGGTGATATATTCACGTCATGAAATACTTCATGCTATAATATGAATAACTCTTACAAACATATTGCTGAGCAAATGAAACCTGGTATCAGAAAACAAACTGTATGATTCCATTTATGCTGAGTTCAAAACCAGGCATAGCCAATCTCTGATCTTAGAAGTCAAGGTGGTACTAACTGAGGGAAAGGCCCGAGTAGAGGCACTGGGGGACTTCTGGCAGGCTGTAGTTAGGCTGTTTCTTAAAACATGTGCTGGTTACATGGTGTAGGCAAATTGTGAAATTGATCACACTGTTCATTGGTTATACTCCAATAATTTTTTTTTCAAAATAAAATGTATCAAAAAAGTGATGATGCACAATATTCTTTAACTATCTGCATCTTTCCATGTGCAGTTAGATTAACTGGCATGGCCCTTAAGATAGCAGTGTTAACCTACAGACTGCCACAACCCTGACTTTTGCCACAGCACACACGTGTTACTACACTAGAAAGAGAATCCAACATTTATCATGCAGGGACTTTCCTAGCCCATGCAATCCTGGGGGATGCAGCCAACTCAACAAAAGGGTCTGGTCAGACTCATCATCCAATAGGCTCAAATAGATTCCCACTACCCTCAATCTGGTACCCAGTGCTGCTGAGGTGGGTACCAGATATGCATGCATTCCTAAGCTTCCCTTCCCTAACCACGGTCATGCTGTATCTGCCTATCCCAAAGACTAGGATCTATCTCATTTTGAAAGATTGTCTGTATCAAGTCCAAATTTTCTATCTCCATGAGAAGGATTTAGGGTGTCAGATCCCTCTGGGGGGTTCCCAGTGAGAATGGTCTCACTTCCTTGAGCTCCAGTCTTCATGGTTTTCTCCTCTTGCTCCCATATTCTAACTCTACTTCCACTGCCTGCTGCCATATGGTTTTCCAACTCAGATCCAAGGAAGCTTCAGGGCTGAATCTACATGAGTCATCATAATGGCCCCATATCCTGAGGGCTGGTCACGTCGGCTACTTACAGGGTCTTTGTGAGCCTTGTTGTAATGGGCTAAGTCCTCCAATATGTTTTTATTCAACATGAGGGTGCTGACAAGATTTTCCACAGCAGGAGTATCCAAGAGAGTGGCAAATCTTATATTAATGGACCTGGATAAGGAGAGGAATATATTTTTAAGTTAAAGTACTAAATACGTATTCCCCCCCAATGAGACAGAATTGTAACATATCACACTTATATAAAATAATATCCAGCAAAGTATGTTTATATCACATTGGGGTTATAAAAGTAACTCATGTCATTATAGAAACCTGAGACACGAAAAAAGTGTGAAGAATAAGGTAAATATCACTGATAATACCATTAACCAAAGACAACACAGAGATATTTTACATACATTTAATTTAAAATAGCACCATGCCTTATTTCATACACAGAATCAAAATCCTTCAAATTTTTAAATTATGTTAGGAAGAAGTCACATTGCACCACAGCTGGCTTCGTGAGCGTGGGACCCAGGGAACGGCACAGGGCTGTGAACTTTTAGAGCCTCACACTCAGAATTTATTGCCCTGAGGCCACTGTTCAAAAATTCTTAATAATTTTATCTTTGACTTCATGTTTTTAAGTGAAGTTGAGTGACACAATGGAGCATATCAGGCGCCTTGGAGCCTCTGCACACATGTGCTCCCCGCAGCCTCTCCATGACGGTTTTCTCCTACCCGTTCCCTGCCCCTGGCATCCTGGGCCCTAGAGAGCCTCCCCATTCCTGCCTCACAAAGGCTGCCTCCTCCTTCTGCCAGGAGTGACTTTGGTTGCATTGGTTGGGGAAGCTCCTGTTCAGCCAACACCCAGTGAGGTCCCTGGACAAGGGTACAGAGAGGCTCATGAGTCAGGTACATAACCCATGGAGTCTCTGGTCAGACCAAGGGGGTGGCTGTTCCCACCCCAGGCAGGCAGTGCCACGGCGTGTTTGGCTGGCAGCTCAGTGTGGACCTCCTACCCATCCCCCACCCAGGTGTTTAGTGCATCCTGGTGCAGAGGTTGCAGGCCCTTGGTTGGATGCCTGTTTGCCGTGGGTCGGAGCTCACGGGAAGGAAAGACTGCCTGCCCTACCCTAGACCACAGCTTCACATTTTCATTTTGTATTGGGTCCTATATATTATGTAGCTGGCCTTGTAGTGAATTCTCTTCAGTTGCTAGGGTATTTATGACAATGACATAAATGACGTAAATGACAATGCCATTCAATGCCATTCAATGACAATGACATAAATGATATAATGACAATGACAATGCCTCATGGTGATACAATAAAATATCCTAATCTATTCAACTTTTAACTGTAGTGAATATCTGTATTTAAATTGCAATGCATGCTTCCATATTTTAAAGTATCATATTTGCAACGACCAATATCTATAATTAACTGATAAAAATATGAACAGTTAATACCATCTTAACAATGTTTAGGAGCAATTTTAAGTGAAAGGTAAGAACTTGGTTGTTATATGACCACCTTACACCAAAATCTAGTTTAATGGATGAAAAATGTAAATGTAACAAACAAGACCACAAAAGCACTAGAAAAATACTCAAGAAAATTAAAAACATATATCCACACAAAACCTGTACATGAATTACATGAATGTTCATAACAGCATTATTCACAGTAGCCCAAAAGAAAACAACCCAAATGCGTATCAATTGATAAATGGATAAACAGAGTATGGTTTACACATACAACAGAAAACTATTCAGCCATAAAAGAAAATAAAATACCAACACATACTCCAACATGCATGAACTTGAAAAACATTGTGCGAAGTGAGAGAAACCCTATACAAAAGGCCACGTGTTGTGTAATTCCATTTATATGAAATGTCCAGAATAGGCAGATTTGTAGTGATAGAAAGTGGACTACTGATTGCCGGGGGCTGGAAGGAGAAGAGAATGGGAGTGACAGCTTGATAGGCACAGGGTGTCCTTTGGGTGATACCAATGTTTTAGAAGCAGATAGAGCTGATGATTGCACAATGCTGTAACTCTACTACAAACCACTGAATTGTACACTTGAAGTGAGTAAACTGCATGGCATGTGACTTACATCTCAATAAAGCTGTTAGGAAAATACATATAATGCCTAAAAAACTGAAAGGAAAAGGGAATGGCAACTAAGGGCAAAAAAATAGACTGGCATAGCTGTATAAATATCAGACAAACTAGAGCTTAAGGGAAGAATCACTATGAGAAAAAGGTCTTTATTTGATAATACCAGTAAAAGTTCACTAGGAAGATGTAACAATACCGTATCTTTAGATGTCTAACAATATAGCTTCAGGATACTGAAGTAAAAAATTGACAGGGTTATGAGAAGAGTTTGAAGTTCACTATCACATTGGTAGAGTTTAATATGCCTCTCTCAGAAACTGGTGTCAGACAACAGACTTAAGATACTGTGGAAGATCTGGATAAACTTAAGCTAAAGCACACTACGTCCCCCAAATGAAAAGATGACACTTGGGGTAAGTGTCATCTCACTGTTTCCATTCCAAAGCCCTCCACCCAGCTATCTTTCCTGTCTTAAGTAATGCCAGCTCCATCCTTCCCGTGGTTCAGGCCCAGACCTTTGGCTTCACCTGTTTTCTTGCACACCTCTCTTTCAGCCTAACTTTGGGCTGGCTCTGCTTTCAAAATGCATCTAAGAATGGAACGACTTCTCAAGACCTCCACTGCTGGTCCGGCCTCCACCACCTCTCTACTGCGTTGTTAGAACGGCATCCTAGCGTCTCTCCATGTTTCTGCCATTGTCCCTGACAAGCCATCCTCCACCAATTTGCCAGACTGACGCTTATCAAATGTTAAGTCAGATCACACGACTCTCCTACTCAAATCCCAGTAATAGAGATTTGAGTTCTATTTTCTCTTAATAAAGAGGTTCTTAACCTCTTTTATGTGTATAGCCCCTCTCAGAATGCTTTAAAATGCATAAAGATACATAAGATTATAATATGTGAGCTTCATTAAATGAACATGACTCATCAGGGGGCCTAATAATTACCATAATTTTGCCGCATTGATGAGCATAAGCTTGCACCCCCAGTAAAAGCCAAAGTTCTATAGTGGCTGAGAACCCCCTCCTCCACTCCCCATGACCACAGCCTCTTTCCCTGTTCCCTCCTTCTGGGACTGTTGCATGCTCTGACTCATCTCCAAATAGTTGGCTATTGTTTTCCCTGCTCTCCTGCAAAGGCCACTCCTCAAACATAATCCCTCATCAGAAGTTCCTACCTGAGGAGGCTCCTAACTCATCAAAAGTTCTTACCTCCACAGTAGTTCCTACCTCATCAGCAGTTCCTAACTCATCAGAAGTTACCACATTAGTAGTTCCTACCTGAGGAAAGTCCTATCTCATCAGAAGTTCCTATGTCATCAAAAGTTCCTACCTCATCAGAAGTTCCTATCTGGAATTCTCCTCCAGCAAATCTATGAGCCTGTTCCCTCACCTCAACACTGAGTCTTCCCTGAAACTTCACCCTCTCAATGACACCCTCCCTGACCCTGACCCCCTATTTAACATTTGGACCCTGATCTTCCATCCTCATTCCTTGTTCTATTTTTCTCAACAGCGTTTCCTACTTTCTCTTTGTTTTTCACTGTTTGTCTCCTGCCACTAGAATAAAACTTGACCAAGATGGGAATGTTGATCTATTTGCTCACTGCTGCCACCTCATGGCTAGAGCAATGCCTGGCACATGGTAGACGCTCAATAAATAGCTGTTAAGTGAACAAATCATGAAGCTTGCATGGAGATGGCCAGAGAGCTTCCCCATGCTTGTTACATATAATAAATCGTACAACTTAGTTATAAAAATTGTTGCTGGAGACTAGACTGGAAAGTGAGAGTAAGCGGACATCTTCCCTCAGCAAGGCTTGAAGCTCAGACCATTCTAAAAGGCCAGGGCTCTTCCTAGAGTATAGTGGTGCCCAGTAAATGTTCAGTGGGACATGGGACTATCGTCCTGCAAAGTAGCAGAAAACTGCAAACATTGTTTCACCAGTCTGTCCATGGAAATGTACTGTTGCATTCATCTCTGCTAATCATATTCACTGAAGAGAAATATTTTAGAACTTTCATTTGTTCCTAGAATTTCAGGAGGAGGAACAGGCAATGGCAGTATGTTTGTGCCCTCCTCTAAAATGACACTGTCCAGTACAAGAGCCTGTACACTTGAAATGTGGCACTCAGAATTGGAATGTGCTGTAAGAATACAATATTCACTGAATTGTGAAGACACAGTACAAAAAAGGAATATAAAGTTTCTCATTTGTGCTTTTTAAATATCGATTACATGTTGAAACAATATTTTGGATATAATGGGTTAAATAAGAAATAAATATTACAATTAATTTTACCTACTTTCTGATTCTTAAATTAGTGTGGCTATTCAAAAATCTAAAATTACACAAGTGGCTCACACTGTATTCCTACTGGACAGGGCTGCGCTCTATGCCTATATTTGTTTCTGAGAGCTATTTCCCAAAAGGTTTTTACTCAGCTCAAAAAGCAGAATGTAGGCTGGCTGTGTGAGGTGGCTCATACCTGTACTCCCAGCATTTTGGGAGGTCGAGGCAGGAGGATCACTTGAGACCAGGAGTTCAAGCCCAGCTGGCCAACATGGCAAAACTCCATCTCTACTAACAATACAAAAGTTAGCTGTGCATGACGACTCACACCTGTAATCCCAGCTACTTGGTTGGCCAAGGCACTGGAATCACTTGAATCCAGAACCCAGGAGGCAGAGGATGTAATGAGTCAAAATTGTGTCACTGCACTCCAGCCTGGGCAAAAGAGTGAGACTCTGTCCCCCCAAAAAGAAAGCAGAATGTAGGGCTTATTCCATCAGTGACCTTTTTTCGGCAGACTTTAAAAAGCCACCTTGCTTTGAGACAAGGTGGCTGGTATATATGCTATTCCTTCCACATTGGGTGCTGAGAATAGCAGCCTGTTTGTTTTGGCTTTAACTAGAATAAGATGTGGGGGACATGAGCAGGAGATGGCCTAGATCCTTCCTTTTCTGGGTAAAGGGTGGAAGCGGTGTGGATTCTTTACTTAGTGTGTTCTGATAGCCACATGTCATTATGCATT